CGATGCCCCCCCTGCAGCCCCCGCTGACCCCCCCTCTTCCCCCCCGCAGGAGGCGCCCCCCGAGCAGCAGCGGAGGCGGATCCCGCCCGGACTTTCTCCTGCTGGGCGGCCGAGCGGAAGACGGGCAGCCCCCGCGGCCCCCAGATGCCCGGCTGGTAGAAGTGGACCCTCCGCTCCTGGGATCCGCTGGGCCTTTGAGATCCTGAGGAGGGGGATCTGCTGCCCCCCCCCCGCGGCCTTTCTGAGCCCCTCCGATGTAGACCAGCCAAGGAAGAGGCCCCTCCTGCAAGGGAAGAAGCCAAGGGGGGCTGGGCACGGCGTGGGGGGGGGCTGCCTGGATGCCCCCCACCCGGGATGGGGAAGTGACTCTTTCCGCACCTGGTGGCTGCTCCGCACCTTCCTCCTCCTCCTCCTCCTCGCCCAGCCGAAGGACCCGGGCCCTCCGCCTCTGGGTGCTGGACCTGAGTGCAAACCATGAACATGCGCCCCCCTGCCCTGGACAGGTATGCGGGGGGGCCCTCGTGGGGAGGGGGAGAGGGGGGTTCAGCTGGGCTCCCTCCTGTCTTCTGCCTGGACTGGCCATGGATGGGCGGAAAGGGGGCACCCGTCTGCCTTGGCATCTGCCTGGGAAGAAATCCCCCCCCATTTGGTTCTCCAGTGCTAGGACTAGGGTCCCCCCACCCCCACCGTGGGGGGCTGCCTCCCTCTCTGTCCAGGGCCAAGGACTGAGTGCTGCAGCTGGTGCCCAGAGCCACTCCAGGGCGGATGTGGGGGGAGCTCCCTGTGGGTAGAGGTGGAGGGGCTAAGGAGGAGCTGCTGTTGTGGCCCTGAGGATGGGGGGGCCCCGTTCGTGGCTCAGCCTCTCATGTGAAGGCTGAAGAAGGGGCTGCTTGGCAGGAGGCGGCACTGGGCCCTTCGGAGCGGCCCATAGCCCTTGCGTGGCTCCCTGGCTTTGCCTCCCTCCAACAGCCCGGCCCCGGTTGGTGCCCTCTTTGCCAAGGGTTTCCCCCGTGGCCTGGGCAGCCCTTCTGAAGCAACCTTGCTCTCCGCCTAACCCAGCGTGGTGATCCCTTCTCCACAGCCGAGTGGGCAGGGAGGTTTCCAGGCAAAATGCAAAATGCTGCGTGGCCGGTTGTGGGTAATTTAAAGAGAGAGACCTGTGGTCAGTGAGGGCTGGAACCTCGGACGGGGGTGGGGTGGGGGGGCACCAATGTATAACTTCCGTTTCAATATTTGGTCCTCCGCCCTTCTGGTCTGTGTCAAAAGGGAGCCACGCGTTTTCTTTATAAAGCACCATTGTGACAGCAAGCAAAGCTTCTGCGGAACGTTGATCTCCTGGTGGTCTCCCATCCGGGAGCTTTCGGGCTTTCCGACTCGGCTTAGCTTTCCCAAAACCAACCTCTGGAGTCGGCAGTTCTCTCTCTCTCTCTGGTTCAGCCCACACCACGTCCGATAGCTGGGAAAACGTGGTTGCTGAGCTGCAGATCTGGCAAAGTCTCCAGGACTGACATTTGGGGGAGGGAGGCCCAGAATTGCCCCCTAAATGTGGCGCCTCCCCAGGAGGCCAAAGCCTGGAGCTCCAGCGTGTCCGCCTGGGGGACCTGGAGTCTTCGTCCTTTTGCTCTCCAACTGGGGGAGGGATGGGCTGAAACTGCTGGACTTCCAGAATCCGGAGAGGCCGAAGGGCAGCCCAGGGAATCCCCTCCGGACGGGCGGACTCTTGGATCGGTTCCCCTGAACGGCCCTCCCTGCGGCCTTCTGTGCCGGCGTCCGTGCAGGAGCTTGGGGTGGTCCTGCCCTCGCCCGGCCTGAGCTCTCCTTCCCCGAGACAGCCTCCCTCCTTCCAGATGTGCCGGACTCCAGCCCCCACAATTCCCAGGCAGCTGTTGGGGGGGGGAGGCATTGAGGAGACGTCCCGGGGGTCGCGCTTCCGGCTGTTTCTCCCCCAAATGGGCCATCGGGTGGCCAGGCCTTCTCCCGCTTGGCAGGTGGTGTGAGCTCGGCCGGCGGTCAGGGAGCCTGCGGGCCAAGGCTGAGGAAGCCATCTGGGGGGGGGCTCTGGGTGTGTGTGACCCCCCCCCAAGGTATACGGATGGCCTGAGAACGGCCTTCAGGTCCCCCCAGGACCCCGGGTCCTCCCACGGATGGGGCTGTGGGTTTAAATCTGTTTGTAGCCCCAAGGATGGAAGCTCATAGTGTGTTTGTGTGTGTGTGGACACTGCACCAGCCCCCCCCCTCCAGCTGTCTGTGGACGTGTGTGTCTGTGTGTGTGTCTGCTTTGCAGTTGCCTCTCTTGGGAGGGGATGGTGTGCCGGGGGGGGGCTGCTTTGAGGCTCCCCCTCCCCTTCCTGCACCAGCCCCCTTCGCTCTTAAGGGCTCAGTTTGGAGGGGGGTCCCTGTTCTTGGAAGCCGGGCCCCCTTTGCATCCTTTGGCTCTTGGGGGGGGGTTTCTCCCCCCCGGAGGGGTGTGGGGGGCAGATGGCTCTTCCGTTCCTGGCTGTGCAAGATGCTCTCTGCCCCTCAGAAGTGGGGTCCGACTTATAGGCCTGTGAGGGGCAGCTGCTTTGAACGTTTGTTCCGGGCGCCATTAGAATTGTCTTTAAACGGGAAAACTTTCTCGGGGAATTCAGCAGGGTCCCCGCTCCCACTCCTGCTTCTTTCTATCTTGAAGCAGAAATGCTTCTAGTCCTCATGAACTGAAGGTATTTAAAGCCGCCTCCCAGCCTCCTCCTCTTAATGCGCTAATGGAAGCGGGGGGGGGGGACCGGGGCTTTGGCCCCTGCCTGGCGCTGCCGTTCTTTGGGGTCCTGCTTGAGCTGCCCCCCCTCTTGCCTCTGATGACACGAGCCGTGAATCGGGCTTGGGGAGCAACGGGGCCTCCGGGGTCCCCCCCTTCCTTTGAGCGAAGGCCTGTTTTTTGCTCCCCAGAAGTGCCTCACTGTGCAGAGGCCAAGGGTGGCTTATACTTCGGCTTGGGCCTCGAGCGGGAGGGTGGCAAGGCTGGTGAGGCTGGCAGTGGGCAGCCCAACCGGGCTCTGCGTCTTCTGGGCTTGTGTTTTTTAAGGAGCCGAGAGCAGGAAGCACTCTGTACGAGCGCAGGAACCCTTGGGCCTCACTGGCCCTGTTTGCAGAGGGGGAGAGATGGGGAGGGGGGGGGGTCTGTGGGTTTTGTGGAAGGCCGCTCGGAGAGTCTCCCAAGGCTGCCCTGCGCCCCTCGGCCTGTTTCTCATGCCCGCCTGCCTCCTCTTTCTCTGTCTCTCTCTCTCCTCCATGCTGCCTCGGCCGCTGCCCCTTCTGTCTCTGTCTCTCTCCTCTTTACGCCAGACGCGCCAGTAAAAGGCACCCTCGGCTGCCCAGGTAAGATGGCCCCCTTGTCGCCGGGGTCCCTGAGCCGAAGGGGGCTGCCCGTTAGCCTTTCCCCGCAGGGTCCCCCGGAAGATGACTCAGCTGCGAGCATGTGGGCCAGCCCCTCCGCCCCCTCCCCTTTGGCGGCTGTCTGTTTCCAGCCCCCTTGCCCAGGTCATTGGCATAACCGAAGGGCTTGGAGAGGCTGCCGCGGGGGCACTCTGGACCCTGGCTGGTGTCAACCGGTCAGTTGCCCAGGCCAGTAGCTGGGGGTCCATTGTTTCCGGAGCGGCTAAGAATAGGATGCGTCCTTGTTGCTCTTTTCCCACTGCTGTGGCGTCCATCCTGGCATTGGGCATCTAGGAATAGCCCCAGGGGCCATGGGTGTGTGTGTGTGGCTGTCTTCCTGGGGAGGACAAAGGGGGAGGGGGAGGTCTCCAGTGGGCAGCTGATGGAGTCCAGTCAATGGTCCACTTCCTGCACTCTTGGCACCCCCAAGCCCTCCCCTCCACCCCTGCTCTGAGCCACAGCTTTGCACCCTAATGGGCAGCCCCCCCCCATGGCGCAGGTCAGTGCAGGGTCTGATGCTCATAGCAAGCACCTGGTCCCGCGCCCCACATGCTGCCGGGGGTCGAGTCCTGGATGCCAGAAGGGGCCAAACGGGGGGCTCCACTTTTGTGTGTCTTCTCATTCTGGCTCCTTTGATTTCGCAAGGGTTGGCGTGGGTGGGGGGCTCAGAGGGACGCGGAGGGCGGGGGGATAAACGTCTCCAGAGTTGCAGCTTCCCATCCGTGGCTCGAAGCCTCACCTGTTGCTTGAAGGATGGGTTGAGGGGGGGGGATGTGGCCACTGGTGGGGGGGGCCCAAACCTCGTAGCTGAGTTGCTCCTGAAGGGGCTGCAGGGGGTCAGGTAGAGTTTAGGGCTTTGGCCTGCAAAGGAGGCCTCCACCGCCTTCCCCAGGGAGGCTGGAAACCAGTCCCTCCAGCTTAATGGGAGGAGAAGCCCCCAAGTGGGATCTGCCTTTCCGGCGGCTTCCTTCTGCCAGAGGGCAGCAGGGTTTGAAACCAGAATCCGCAACCGGCTTCCTTTATTGGCTTTCCTGGCTCCGCAGGGGTGGCTGAGGGAGACTGCAGGAATAGAAATAAATCCAGAGTTCTCAAGAGGAGCCCAGCTGGAAGCTAGATAGGACCAGCGGCCTCTCTTGATGCCCAGTGGGAGCCGGGGGGGGGGGGTTGGCAGGTCTTCGAAGGGCACAAAACGGACTTTGGGGGCAGGAGAGAAGCCTGCTCGGGGGCCTGAGATGCAGGGACCGAAACGCCTGAGAAAACGGGGACGCTCCGGGTGGGCAGCTGAGGAACTCCGGGCCTTGAAGCCCACACATCTCACCGTTGCCGAGGTGGGAGACCCCCTAGAGGGACCAAGGCAAAGAGGAGGGGGCAGCTGCCCCACGGAGAGGCTCAAGGGCCCGCAGCCCCTGCCCACTCGGCTGCGGGCATTAACTCTCCATTCTTGTCTGTCTTTCTGTTGTGCCCTCCTGCGTTCAGCCCCATAGCTGCCTGGTAAGATCAGACGCTCCTCCCCCTGCCTGCTTGGGCCCTCCAAGGGCCTCCCCCCCCCCGAGCGTCTCTCCCGTGGCTCCCTTAGCCCCACTGCTGCCACGCTGCCCCCTTTCCCAAGGCTTCCCTTGCCCCCCCCCCCCAGGATTAGAGGCTGCTCTGCTCAGGAGGGGGAAGGAAGGGCAAAGCTACAGAAGGTTGTGGGGGAGCAGCCAGTGCCCCCCACCCTCGCAAGCCCCATCCAAGAGGAGTTGGCTTCTTGAGGTCCGGAGCTCCTAATTGTGGACAAGATCAAGCTCCCCCCCTCTCCCCATTGGCTGAGGAGGAGGTAGAGGTGGTGGTGGTGGTGGTCTCTTGGACCTTTGCCCCAAGGCTCAGGGGGGCTCAAGCCCCAGGGCCCCTGCCTGAAACTCCTGTTGACTTGGGGGTCAGTCTGGGATTCCGGGCCTTGGCTCCTCCAGTCTCCTCCTGGCCTCCAGTGGGCCCATGGGGAGGAAGTGGGGTGCAGACCCTCAGGCTGCAGCCAGGGTGATGGGCGCCTTCCCTCTCTCTCTCTCCGTCCAGGTTGGGCTCCCTGTCTTCCCTGGGCGATTCAGCCGTGGAGAGGCACTCGCCCAGCCACCACCGCCAGCCCTCCGACTCCGGGGAGACCACAGGTGCCCCCTTTGCTCCTTTTGGGGGGCTGGGAGGGGGGGGTTGAGGAAGCAGAGCCTGCACGGGGGCTGAGCTGGCAGGGGGAGCGATGGGGGTCTGCAGCATGTGTGGTTGGGGAGGAGGAGGAGGAGGCTGACCCCTTGTTCCCTGCGCCAGAAGGGTCCGGTCCAGGCCCATCCCTGCCAGGGAGGCTCCCTTGCTGGGCCCTGGCTCTTTCCTGGGGGAAGGGGGGGGGCTGGAGCGGAGGCCTTTCACTAGGGGTGCCCGGAGGGTCCCTCCTGGGAGGAAGGGGCTCGGGACCAAAGGGGCCGGCTTCCCTTGGCAGGGCTGGTCCAGCGCTGCGTCATCATCCAGAAGGACGAACATGGCTTCGGCTTCACCGTCAGTGGGGACCGCATTGTCCTGGTGCAGTCCGTCCGGCCAGGTGAGGAGGGGCCCTGGGCCTCCGTGGGGGGGGGGGCTGCTGCCCCAGGGCCCCGAATGAGCTGAGCTGCCCCCATGGGCGAGGGGGAGGACAGGGAGGGGCTCGGAAAGGAAGCTGGCAGCTCCACAGCCCCGAACTGGGCAGGTTGTGGGGGCTGCTCCCAATGCCTGTGAAAGGCCCCCCGGGCAGCCTTCCCCAGGCGGGACCCCCATCTCCTTCCTCACAGGCCTTCTCTCTCTCTCTGGTTCTCTCTGCAGGCGGAGCCGCCATGAAGGCCGGGGTGCAGGAAGGCGATCGGATTGTCAAGGTGGGCAGAGTCTCCAAGGGCTGCTGGGCTTCTGCTGCCCCCCGACTCTTTATAAATGTGGGCCATCTCCCCCTCCCCCCCTCCGGGGTGGCTTCTCTGCCCACCTGCTGACTGTTTAACTGTTTATTAAATTTATAGGCTGCCCAATCCCAGAGAACTCCGGGCGGCTTACAGCAACAGAAGTTAAAAGAAATTAAAAACAGATAAAACACGACAAATTTAAAAAGACCCAACATGCCCCCAGTCTAAGCGGGGCTGGGGACCTCAATCCAGAGGTCAAGAGCCCCAGGCCTGCCGGAATAGCCGGGTCTTAATAGCTTTTCGGAAGGCCGTGAGAGTGGGGAGGGTCCGGATCTCTGACCACCTGCTCCCGCTCTCCCCCGCAGGTGAATGGGATGGTGGTCACCAACACCTCCCACCTGGAAGTGGTGAAGCTCATCCGATGTGAGTGGGGCAGGCTGCGGCTTTGGGGGTCCGGGGAGGCTGGAGCCGCAGCGGCCGCTTGGCCCGGAGGGGGGGAGAGCTGGGTCCCCCGCAGCTGCGTTGTCCCCCGAGAACCGCCCATACCTGCAGCAGCTGAAGCCATACCCTCTGCTCCCTCTGCTTCTCTCTCCCCCCCCTCGGCTCCCCCCAGCTGGCGCGTACGTTGCTCTCACCCTGTTGGGGTCCCCTCCTTCGTCTCTGGGCTTCCTGGGGTCGCAGCATGACCGGCCACAGGCAGGCACCCCGCACATCGCCTGCCCACCGCCACCGCCACTGCCGCCGGCCCCCCACTGGGTCACCGCTGGGCCAAAGCCGCCTCAGGTACCGCAGGGGTGCAGAGGGGGCCGAGTCGGTTCTGTGGGGGCAGAACCGGAGGCCGGGACTCACCGTCTCTCTCTCCGGCCTCGCCAACCTCAGGACCCCGAAGTCCAGAAACACGCCACGCAGATCCTCAGGAAAATGCTCCAGCAGGAAGAGGCCGACTTACAGGTGTGGGTCGAAAGGCCTGGGGGGGGGGGTCTGTGCCGGGCTCTTCCCAAGACGGTTGGGAGGGGTCCACTGCAGAGGCAGTCTGGGTCCTTCTGGCCTGCCCCCCCCCCCACTCCCGGTTGGGTTTTACTGACCGAGTAGCAGCAAGTGGGAGTAGTAAGGCTGCTGTAACGCTTGCCCTGGTTTCCCAAGGAAAGGAGCCTTAGTTTTCTTCCCAAATAAGCCCATGTTGCCCCCCCCCAACACCCCCACTTTCTCCCCAGCGATGTTACGAGATCTACAGCCAGAGTCCCGCCTCTTTGCTGGAGGAGCAGATCGAGGGGGCTCGGCGGAGGGTCGCCCAGCTACAGCACAAGATCCGGCAGGAGATGGGGGAGCTGGTGGTGAGCGGGGAAGGGGGCAGAGCAGCTGGATGGGAAGGGGGGGGGGCTGGGAAGGAAGAGGTCCTTGGGCCTGGCTGGGCCTCTCCAATGGGGCTCTCTCCCACCTTCTCAGGACGGCCCCCGGTGGCCCAGCGATCCCGGCTCCTTCAGCGCCCGGGGGACGGAGGGTGAGTTTTGCTGCTGCTCCTTTTGGGAATGTCCGACTGTCCGAGTGGGAAGGGCCCCCGGGGGGGGCTCAGGGCTTCCGCCTGCTGAACACCCGCCTCCCCGTGGGTGTCCAAAGCCCCCCCCCTCCTCCTCTTCCTCCGAGTGCCCCTGGGGCATCTCTTTGTCCCCGCAGGCGGCCTCTCCATCGACTCCCAGGATGGCGACAGCGGCCTGGACTCCGGCACGGAGCGCTTCTCTTCTTCCGTGAGCGAAGTGAGCACGGAGGGGCTCCTCCTTCCCGCGGTGCCAGGGAAGGTGCCCGTGATTGCTGACCTGAGAATGCCGGTTTCTCTTGGCGCAGATCTCCCTCAACCGGAACTCCGTCCTTTCCGATCCTGGCCTGGGCAGTCCCCACACCTCGCCCGTTGCCGCCTCGCGGCTCTTCATGCACCATCGACGCCAAGGCTCCGACACCCCCTTCTTGCACTCCACGGAGCAGGTGAGGGCAGGCGGGGCCCATCCGCAGGAGCCCCCCCCTCCCCAAGGGTGCCTGGGTTGAGGGGAGAGCAGCCCTCGCTTGCAGTTCTTGCGATCTGATCTTGAGCCACCTCGGACGGCGCCTCCTGCTTCCTGCCTGTGTTTGGTGTCCGAACATGGAGGTGTTCAACGGAGCAGCCGTTTCGTGTCCCCCCTCCCCCTCCTCCTCCTCCTCCATTTCGGCACCTCCGTCTCTCTTCTGAGAAGATTTTAATCCCTTTTTCTCTGCAGAGTTTGGATCACATACTCCGAACTTCCATCATCGGTCCGGAAGAGGATTACGACCCAGGATACTTGGACAACGAGGTAGGGGGCTTTCTCTTCTTTCTCCTAAAGTCCCGTCCAGGCCATTCCCAAATGGACGCCCTTAGACCCCCCACCTCCTTTGAAACCCTCCAGCCAGGGGGGATCTGCTGCTCTTGGCAGCTTTGGCTGGGAAACGCCCCCAAAAGGGGGTCCGGGAGACGCAGCGGAGGAGGAGAGACACAAAAAGGCTGCTCCGTTGAACACCTCCATGTTCGGACACCAGACACAGGGGCCGGGGGCTCCTTTGCGCTGGTTTGTGGCCTCTCGGCTGAGCATCTCTTCCCCCCCCCCATGGCAGAACGACTCTCTGTTCCAAGATTTGGGGAAGCTGAAGACGCGGCCGGCTCACCTAGGAGTTTTCCTGCGCTACATCTTCTCTCAAGCGGACCCCAGCCCCCTGGTAGGGTCCCCGGGGGGAGGGCTCCCTTTCCTTCCTTCCCCTCCACCCCCCCGATGCGTCTCCATCGACTTCCTCCCCTCCTTCCAGCTCCTGTACTTGTGCGTGGACGTCTCCCAGCAGATGAGCCCCAAGGAGGCCCGGGCGCTGAGCAAGGACATCTGGCACATTTTCTTGGACAAGGCCGCCGTGAGTGTGGGCTCTGCCTTTCGGCACTCCTGCTGTGCTCACACCTGCCCTGCGTGGGGCTCCTGGGGGGGCGGCAGGAAAGGGAGAGGCCGCCCTGGACGCAGTGGAACACACGGGGGGTCTCCGTAAGTGGTCAGCCTTGTTTCTTCTGCAGCCCCTGAGAGTCACGGTCCCCGACCAGCTGTTGGTGGAAATTGGTGAGTCCGCACAGAAGCCCAGGCCAGCTGAGGGGGTCCCTCTGCAGAGATCCTCGGGGGCTTCGGTGCTCTGCCCTGAGGTCGGAGCTGCCTCTGTGCCCCCCTCGGGCATTTCCTCAGCAGCCCCACCCACCTTCCGCTTCCTTGTGCCCTCCAGAGGCTCACCTGCGCAACGGAGAGGACCCCCAGGAGGCTTTCTTGGAGGTCCAGGAGGCCGTCATGCCTGAGATCCAGGAGCAGATCCAGGACTACAGGTCAGCTCCCGCCACCCTTGCGGGGGAATCGTCAGTGGGGCCCATCCGGGTGGGCCGAGGCCGGACGCAGGGAAAAGCAGATGGGATGATGGCCTTGCGAGTGGGAGTTTGCTCCGGCCGGTTTCCGAGAGGAAGGGAGAACTTTCGCCTGGGCCCCCTCTTCTTCTCTGCCCTCCCAGGACAAAGCGTACGATGGGTCTGGGGAGCCTCTATGGGGAGAACGACCTCCTGGAGTTGGACGGGGAGCTCCAGAAGGAACGGCAGGTGGCCGAGAAGCAGATGGCGCAGCTGTGGGACATCCTGTGAGTGCCGCGGGCGGGCGAGGGAGGGAGGGAGGGGTCTGATGGGGCGGAGGTTGGCGAAGAGAGTTCACCTTGAATTGCCTCTGAAAGTGCCACGCTCAGATGCCAGGCGGGGTTTGCCGCAGGGTCAGCTCAAGTAAGACCTTGTCAAGTTGTGCAACTTTAAGATGGGGACCCTCAACGTCCAGAATCCATGCCTGCTGGGGGATTCTGGGAATTCAACTCTTCACATCTTAAAAGTTGCCAAATTTGAGAAGCCTCGTCCTAGACGGGCAAGGGGAGGAAAGAGGATGCCAGCCCAGCTTAAGGGGGAATCTGACGTTATCTTTGCTTTCCTGCTTTAGATCCAAATATGAAGATCGGAGGTGAGTGATCTCAGCACCTTGGGGGGGGGGATCCTCTTCTGATCCCGGCCTGAATTGTGGCCTCTTTTCAAATGTGTAATTTCTGTTCAGTTCTTCGTCTCGTGTAAGCTGAACGTATCTCGTATCCCTGCTGAACGACTCGTTTGCTAACTTGCAGTAACTATTGGGGGCCTCTTCCCAAGAAGGAGCAGGGAATATCCCGGGCTCCCTCCCAGAATGCACTGGGCCTTCCTTGGAAGGGCCTGAAGGAGAGCCAACCTCGGGCTCTTCAGGACCACGGAGAGCTCCAGGAGGGCAGAGGCGTTGCTCCCGCAGGAGACACAGGGGCCGGGGAGGGGGGGGGAGGTTTCCCGGGGCTATGCTGAGGGGTGGGGAGGGGGCTCCAGCCAGACTGCCCTCCCCTCTCCTTGCAGCTCCCCCATGAGCTTTGCCCTGAAGACCTACATGAGCCACGTGGGCATCTGCCCTCGGGAGTCTCGCCCGGCCAGCGTTGTGGAGAAGTCCCAGGAGAAAGACAAGTGGCTTCCCTTCTTCCCCAAGGCCAAGAAGGTGGGTGGGGGAGCCGGAAAGGGCGGGGCCTCAGCCCCCCCCCCAACCCTGACCCCCCCTTCTCCCTCTTTTGGGGCCACAGAGCAGCAGCAGCAGCAAGAAGGAGGCCGCCGTGGAGGACAAGAAGCGGAACCCCATCCTGAAGTACATTGCAAAGCCCAAGAGCGCCTCCCAGAGCAGTGAGTCCCCCCCCACACTTCTGCCTCCTGCAAACGGCTCCCCCCTCCCCACTTACCCCCCACCCCAGGCTGGCTGGGCGGGCC